AATAAAAAGGGAGAAGTGATGTGTATATATAGGTATTGATATATTTTTACATGAAAAAGGAAAACTTCATTTTCATCAATAAACCAGACCAGATAGACAGAGATATCCAAACACATGTGCACACACATATATACACCCATTTATACTTGCAAATGCATGATTTGTATAGACTATATCTAGAACATATACAAGAAACTGACAGTAGTGATGGTCTCTGGAAAGGGAATCAAGAGAAGTAGGAAATAGGAGTAGGAGTAGTATATAAATCATTGTTTGTCTTTTTATAATTGCTTGACTTTTTTCTTTACCAAGTGCATATATTGATATTTTAATAAAAAAAAATTTTATCCTCACCCAAGGACATTTTTCATTGACTTTTGTAGCGAGGGTAAGGGAGATAGAGATATATATATATAGATAGATAAGAGACAGAGATAGGGATAGAGAGAGGGAGAGAAATATCAATGTGAGAAACAGAAATCAATTGCCTCCTGTATGCACCCTGTCCGGGAATTGAATCCACAACCTTTCAGTGCAACTGAACTATACCAGCCAGAGCCATGTGCATATATGTTTAATTAAAATAGAAATAGTTGCCGAAACCGGTTTGGCTCAGTGGATAGAGTGTTGGCCTGTGGACTGAAAGGTCCCAGGTTCGATTCCGGTCAAGGGCATGTACCTTGGTTGCAGGCACATCCCCAGTAGGGGGTGTGCAAGAGGCAGCCAATCAATGTTTGCTCTCATCACTGTTTCTCTCTATCCCTTTCCTTACCTCTCTGAAATCAGTAAAAATAGATATTTTTAAAATTAAATAAAAATATTTATTAATTATAGGTTTCAATATTTTACTTGTCAAATTGTCAGAGATAAAAATATTTGTTAATTGTCAGCAAGGATGTTGGGAACATGTCCTCATATATGCTAATGGTGAGTGTATAAATTTATACATCCTCTTTGGAAGGCAGTTTGTCAATATATATTTAAAATAATAATGCACCTAATCTTTACCTAGCACTTACACATCTAGGATTTTATCCTACTGATTTACTTACACATATTAGCAAAGATGCATAAATAAACATATGCAATACAGTAGTGGTTGCAATAACAAAAGACTGAAAACCATTTATATATCCATCAATAAAGGATTAACTAAATTAAATCTATCTATATATATAAAAGCTAAGCAACCAGAACACTGGAACAACTGGTCACTATGACATGCACTGCAGGCGCCAACAAGCCCAATTGGGGGTGGCCCCTCCCCCAGCAAGGCTCAGCGCCCCTCCCCCCATTGAACTCCCCACCTCTATCGAGGGTGGGGCTGGCTGGCCAATCTCCTGTGGCCTCTCCCCCAAGTCAGCCTCCTTACCTGGTCAACCTCCCGCCACTCCCCCTGCTGGCCTCACCCCAATCAGCCCTGATTGGGGCAGGGCCATCAGTACCCCACCCATGCACGAATTTGAGCACTTGGTCTCTAGTAATACATAAAACAAGTTAATTTTTAGAAGGTAGAATTCTACACAGCAATGAAAAAGAACAAACTACAGATATATTCAACACCTTAGATGAAGCTCACAGATAATATTGAATGAAAGAAGTCAGAGGCAAAAGAGGACATACTATTTTTATTTTTTTAAAATATATTTTATTGATTTTGTACAGAGAGGAAGGGAGAGAGATAGAGAGTTAGAAATATCAATGAGAGATAGACATCGATCAGGTGCCTCTTGCACACCCCCTACTGGGGATATGCCCGCAACCAAGGTACATGCCCTTGACAGGAATCGAACCCGGGACCTTTCAGTCCCCAAGCTGACGCTCTATCCATTGAGCCAAACCGGTCTTGGTGAAAGAGGACATACTATTTTTTTGTTTGTCTGCAGGCGCTGGTGCCCGGGACCACGGGGCAGGCAGCTTGTCCCTCTCCCAGGCCGCAGGCACAGCCGTTGGCTCCCGGGACCTTGAGGACCAAGGGGCATGCGAATTGTCCCTCACCTGGGCCACAGGTGCAGGTACAGCCACTTGCACCGGGGATCACGTGGCCGGCAGCTTGTCCCTATCCCAGGCCACAGCCCAGCTGGTCCCCATTCCTCTCTCACTAGTGTTGAGTGTCTGAGCCGTTATGGCATGATGGCGTAAGGGCATGATGACCATTTGCATATTAGCTCTTTATTATATAGGATAGCTCTTTATTATATAGGATGATTCCAGATTGGTATGTAGGTATTCACTCACACTTTTACTATGTCTCTACATATTGTATGCCAATATATGTTTGCAAATATATACAAAATTTTTGAAGGTTACACACCAAACTGGTAACAGTGACTTCTTCAGAAGAATAAATCTAATTGTTCAAATATTTTGTTTTCCGTTGTATTCACTTCTGCAAATTGTTTTGTAAAGATGCAGGAAGCTCCTACCAGAAGTTGAATATTTAAATGTCACATTGATGTAGACAATAGTCAAATCTATCTTCATTGCTACAGTTTTCTCATGAACTTGAATTCTGCATTTACAATTAACTGCCTGCTAGCATTTACAGTCATGTTTTGCCATCACTGCAAACTTGTATCTAAAGAAATTCATTATCAGAATTTTCAAACAATATTAGTTCTAATTCTTCATTTTCCTATTTCTGTTCAAAGCACTAGCCTTCTACCTATTACTAGTACTTAAGCTATAAGCCTTGGAGTAGCCATCTTATATCCTTACCTCCCCTATCAGAAAAAAATCAAGTGCAAGGTATTTTTTCTTCCTTTTAAATAATATCTTACATGTCTTTATTCTTTGACACCCTAATTCAGACCCCTCACTCAACAAATACTTCTGAGCACATAATATGTATATGCTAGGCAGTTTTAGGTGGTGGGAATTGAGCAGAAAAGCGGATTTATATACTAGTAAAAGAAAGAAATAATAAACAAGTAAAAATAATTATGCAATAATAGTTAACACTTTTATGCTTATCCTATACCAGGTATTGTGCCAAGCTATTTGTTATTCATTCATTCTTTCATTATTTTTAAAATTTATTTTATTGATTTTTTACAGAGAGGAAGAGAGAAGGACAGAGAGTTAGAAACATCGATGAGAGAGAGAAACATCGATCAGCTGCCTCTTGCACACCCCCTACTGGGGATGTGCCCACAACTAAGGTACATGCCCTTAACCAGAATCGAACCTGGGACCTTTCAGTCCACAGACCGACACTCTATCCACTGAGCCAAACCTGTTTTGGCCAAAAAAATTATGAACAACAAATACATATCTATCAACAAGTTAATAAAAAAAATCTGATGAACAGAATAAACTGGTGAATATAATAGAATTGGGGGCATAGAAAGGGAGTGGATTGACAGTTCTCAGGGGGAAGGGGGTGTGGGATGCTTGAGGAGACTGGACAAAAATCGTATACCTATGGATGAGGACAGTGTGGGGGTAAGGGTAGAGGATGGGGTGGGAACTGGGTGGAGGGAAGATATGGGGGAGGAGAGGAATAATTGTAAAAATCTGAACAATAAAGATTTATTAAATTAAATAAAGGAAAAAGACAACTGCATCCTCACTTGCCAAACCCTTCTCGCACATGCCGCACCTCTGTACCTCCGCACTTCCACACCTCCTCTGAATCTCAGTGTGCTTTTCTCTTTCCTTCTAGTTGTAGAATTTCCACTCAGCCAGCCTTCCTGTGGTTCTGAATGATGTCCATCTTGTCTTTTAGTTGTAGTTTTGAAGTGGTTGTGCAAGTTCAGGTGTTTACTTATGCCACCATCTTGGTTTTTCTGAGGAATCAAGATTTGAACCTAGGCAGCTCTCTTAATTGTTAATGCTATATTGCTTTTTATGTAGGGAAAAACTCAGTTGAAATGGGCTATGGTGAAAGTCAAACAGGGTAATATAATAACTTGGATAGGTATGAATTTAGATATCGAGGTCAAGAAATGCCTCTCTGAGTCCTGACCAGGTGGCTCAGTTGGTTGGAGCATTGTCATATGCACCAAAAGGTTGTGGATTTGATTCCTGGTCAGGACACATAACTCAGTTGGGGGTTTGATCCCTGGTCAGGGTGCATACGGGAGGCAACCAAACAATGTTTAGAGAACATAGTTTCTCTCTCTCTCTCTCTCTCTCTCTCTCTCTCTCTCTCTCTCTCTCTCTCTCTCTCTCGTTCTCACTCTTGCTCTCTCTTTCCCTCTAAAAATTAAAAATAAAAAGCATATCCTCAGATGAGGATTTTTTTTTTTTTTAAAAAGGCCTCTCTCAGAGGTGATTTTTTTGTGGAAGAACTCAGTTTCTCACTGTGGATTTTGTTAATTGCACAGTTATCATGCAGTTCCTCTACATTTACTACAGATTGGCAACAGGATCCAAAGACAAAGTCAAACTTGGGTTCCATCCCTTTGGTATGCTTATAAGATTGATATAATGTTTAATGTCTCTCTTTCTTTAATCTTAGAAGCTGTTGATGCTTACTATCTATATTTATCAAGAGTTGCAGAATGGTGATATTCTAATTTTACTATTATTTTTTATTCACTGGAATAGCTCCGTAAAAAGACATGTCCCCTCATCCTACTATTTTGTAACTTAGTTCATCTAGGAAAGGCAATATAAATGTTTGATTCTTTCCCTTTATTGATACATTTTCAAGATAATGAATTGGTTTCCTATTGTGAGAGGTGATATTTGAGCTGAGATGTGATGACAAGAAGGAAACTGACTATTCAAAAACCTGGAGAAAGACTATCCCCAGGCAGAGGTATCAGATAGTACAGAGTCACTGAGAAAGGAGTGAATTGCATTAAGTTCAAAGAACACAGGAGACTAGCATGATGATACTAATTGGGTAGCTCAGTTGGTTAGAGCCATGTACGGCAAACTGTGGCTTTGAGTCACATGCAGCTCTTTGGCCCCTTGAGTATGGCTCTTCCACAAAATACCATGGCCTGGGTGAGTCTATTTTGAAGAAGTGGCGTTAGAAGTTTAAGTTTAAAAAATTTGGCTCTCGAGGGATAATATGGAGGAGCTTCCGGCGTGCCCCAGCTGCTGAAAGCCAGGGCAGAAGTGCTGGTCCCCGTCTGGGTTCCTGTCCCAGTCCCGCCGAGGCTGCGACTGTGGTAGGAGGGAGGAGGTGTTGGACACACTGGTGGCCCTCCACCGCTTTGCATGGCAGCCTTATCTCAGCTCAAAATGAACTATATTCCCGGCACCACCAGCCTTATCGAAGACATCGACAAAAAGCACTTGGTCCTGCTGCGAGATGGAAGGACACTTATAGGCTTTTTGAGAAGCATTGACCAATTTGCTAATTTAATGCTACATCAGACTGTGGAGCATATTCATGTGGGCAAAAAACACGGTGATATTCCTCGAGGGATTTTTGTGGTCAGAGGAGAAAATGTGGCCCTACTAGGAGAAACAGACTTGGAAAAGGAGAGTGACGCATCCTTGCAGCAAGTGTCCATTGAAGAAATCCTAGAAGAACAAAGGGTAGAACAGCAGACCAAGCTGGAAAATGAGATGAAAATTCAGGCTTTTAAAGATCGAGGTCTCTCCATTCCTTGAGCAGACACTCTTGATGAGTATTAAGTCTTTTGCTCTTGGGGAGCAGGGGCTCTCACTGAATGAAAATGAGGTTCCTGTCACCTCACACATTTGACCAGAGACTGTAGAATTTTGAAAAGTTTTTCTTTTGGATTCTTTCACATGTAACATGAAGAAATCATGTGGCTTTTTTTTTTTCCTTTTTATGAACAAAATCTGTCTAAAGAAATAGCTGGATGAACTCCTTTCACATATCACTATGGAGCCAGCAACTGCTTTTCTATGTTGCTCTTCTCATCCCAAATTAGAATTTACAGGATACAGTCTTCACTTGCTTGTAAATAAAATATGAATCTAAAAATTAAATAAATAAATAAATAATTTGGCTCTCAAAAGAAATTTCAATTGTTCTACTATTGATATTTGGCTCTGTTGACTAATGAGTTTGCCAACCACTGGACCTTGTCCTGGTACACCAATGCTGGGGGTTCAATCCCTGGTCAGGGCACATACAAAAAAACCAATGAATACATAAATAAGTGGAACAAAAAATTGATATCTCTCTCTCTCTCTGTCTCTCTCTCTCCCCCACCCCTCTCTCTCTCTCTCTCTCTCTCTCTCTCTCTCTCTCTCTATATATATATATATATATATATATATATATATATATATATAGTCAATTTGTTAATTTATAAAAGTTTTTTTAAAAGACCAGCATGGCCACATTACTTTCACTCCTACCTGTGGAACTATCTTGTTATAGACTGAAGGTGTTCCCCCAAAATTCATATGCTGAAATCCTATCCATTATGACAGTATCAGGAGAAAAGACCTTTGGTAGGTATTAGGACTAGGACTAGATGAGGTCATGAGTGGGATTACTGCCCTTATAAGAGTCATGACAGCTCTAGCTGGTTTGGCTCAGTAGATAAGAGTGTCGGCTTATGGATCTGAAAGGTCCCGGTTTGATTCCTGGTCAAGGGCACATGCCTGGGTTGCGGGCTAGATGCTCAGTAGGGGGCATGCAGGAGGCAGCCGAATAATGATCCTTTCTCATCATTGGTTTTTGTCTCTCTCTCCCTCTCCCTTCTTCTCAGAGATCAACAAAAACATATTTTATTTTAAAAGAATCATGACAGCCCTAACCTGTTTGGCTCAGAGGATAGAGCATCAGCCTGGGGACTCAAGGGTCCCAAGTTCGATTCCGATTCAGGGCATGTACCTTAGTTGTGGGCACATCCCTAGTAGGGAGTGTGCAGGATGCAGCTGATTGATGTTTCTCTCTCATCGATGTTTCTAACTATTCCTCTCTCTTTCTCTCTGTAAAAAATCAATAAAAAAAAATATTTTTTTTTAAAAAAAGAGTCATGACAGAGCTTGCTTTCTCTACAGAGGGCCTTCACCAGAACTCAACCATGCTGATGCCCTGATCTTGGACTTTTAGCCTTCAGAACTGTAAGAAATAAATGTCTGTTTAAAAAACACCCAATCGCCGAAACCGGTTTGGCTCAGTGGATAGAGCGTCGGTCTGCGGACTGAAAGGTCCCAGGTTCGATTCCGGTCAGGGGCATGTACATTGGTTGCGGACACATCCCCGGTGGGGGGTGTGCAGGAGGCAGCTGGTCGATGTTTCTCTCTCATCGACATTTCTAGCTCTCTATCCCTCTCCCTTCCTCTCTGTGGAAAATCAATAAAGTATATTTTTAAAAAACCAAACAAACAAAAAAACCACCCAATCAATGAAACCGGTTTGGCTCAGTGGATAGAGCGTTGGCCTGTGGACTGAGGGGTCTCAGGTTCAATTCCGGTCAAGAGCATGTACCTTGGTTGCAGGCACATCCCCAGTAGGGGGTGTGCAAGAGGCAGCTGATTGATGTTTCTCTCTCATCGATGTTTCTAACTCTCTGTCCCTCTCTCTAAAAAATCAATAAAATATATTTTTTAAAAATAAAAATAGCCGAAACCGGTTTGGCTCAATGGATAGAGCGTCGGCTTGGGGACTGAAGGGTCCTGGGTTCGATTCCGGTCAAGGGCATGTACCTTGGTTGCGGGCACATCCCCAGTAGGGGGTGTGCAAGAGGCAGCTGATTGATGACTCTCTCTCATCGATGTTTCTAACTCTCTAACTCTCTCCCTACCTCTCTGTACAAAATCAATAAAATATATTTAAAAAATAATAATAAAAATAAAAATAAAAAATAAAAAACATCCAATCCATGGAACTTTATTATAGCAGCCTGAACTTAGAATATATATATATATATATATATATATATATATATATATATATATATAAATTTTTTAAAGAAATATACATGGTGTGGTCAGATTATTATGATCTCTGAATGGATAATAATCTGGCCACTCAGAATTATTATGAGGCCCAGTGCAGGAATTCGTGCATGGGTGGGGTCTGGCAAGCCTGGCCAGGGGGAGGGGACATGGGCGGTTGGCCAGCCTGCCTGCTGGTCAAAATCCTGGTTGAGGAGACAATTTGCATATTAGCCTTTTATTATATAGGATATATATTTTATTGCATTCAGAGATCATAATAATCTGGCCACTCAGTGTATATTTACATATATTTTTTTATTTTAATATATATATTTTATTGATTTTTTTACAGAGAGGGAGAGGGATAGAGAACTAGAAACGTCGATGAGAGAGAAACATCGACCAGCTGCCTCTTGCACACCCCCTACTGGGGATGTGCCCACAACCAGTGTACATGCCCTTGAAGGGAATCAAACCTGGGACCTTTCAATCCACAGACCGATGCTCTACCACTGAGCCAAACCGGTTTTGGCTACATATATATATATTTTTAAAGAAATATAGCTAAATCTATTACTCTCTCTTCCACTCTTTCTACCACACCAACTTAGTCTGGGGTCTCATCTTTCTCTCATGGACCACAGCAATTATGCAACTGGTTTCACTGCCTGCAAGCAGCTCTTCCAACCTACTCAATTAACTTCATACTCACCAAAGGTTTTGCAATTCTGTGTATAATTTTTTTTTTTTTTGCTGGGAATGCATTTGTAAATTTATAACAGATTTTATTGGTAAAATAATATTCATTTATTAGAGGGAAGTGTTTGCTTGAAAGTATTGCTGGACACCAAAGATCACAGGCTTTGTGGTCGGATTCATATATGAGTCCCAGCTCTGACACTTGATAGGTATATGACCTAGGGAAAATTACATAACTTCCCTTAGCTTCAGTTTCCTCATCCATTAAAAAATTATAATGAAAGCCCTAGTTGGTTTGGCTCAGTGGATAGAGTGTTGGCCTGAGGACTAAAGGATCTCAGGTTCAATTTTGGTCAAGGGCACATATGTCAGTTGCAGGCTGGATACTGCCTGTGGTCTGGATACATGTGGACGGCAACCAACTCATGGATCTCTCTCACATCAGTGTTTCTCTCTCTCTCTGTCTTTCCCCCTATCCTTCTACTCTCTAAAAAATCAATGGAAAAATATCCTCGGGTGAGGATTAACCAAAAGAGAGAGATAGAGATAGAGAATAATGTTTGTTTTTTTTTAAAAAAATCTAGGCCAATATTCATTTTTTTTCACTCATTCATGTATTTATCTCTTTATTCAGCTTTTTAAAATTAATATTTTATTGATTTTTTTACAGAGAGGAAGAGAGAGAAATAGAGAGTTAGAAACATCGATGTGAGAGAAACATTGATGAGCCGCCTCTTGCACACCCCTTACTGGGGATGTGCCCACAACCAAGGTACATGCCCTTGACCGGAATTGAACCCGGGACCTTTCGGTCTGCAGGCCGATGCTCTATCCACTGAGCCAAACCGGTTTCGACAATAATGCTTTTTTAAAAAATATATATTTTATTAATGTTTTAGAGAGAGGAAGGGAAAGAGATAGAGAGTTAGAAACATCGATCAGCTGCCTCCTGCACATCCCCTCACTGGGGATGTGCCCACAAGCAAGGTGCATACCCTTGACTGGAATCAAACGTGGGACCTTTCAGTCCACAGGTGGAACTGAGCCAAACTGGTTTTGGCAAGAATAATGCTTTTAGTAGATGGTTGTGATAATTAAATGAGTATATATATATATATATATATATATATATATATATATATAATCAGAGAGAAGAGAGAAAAATATGTCTTTATTAAAGTTCTTGATCATAGTAAACGCTAAATAAAGAATAGTTTCTTTAATTTTTAAATGACTCCTTACACCAAGCATATCAAACTTGCTCCCACAACAAATACTTTTGCAGCCCATATAATGGTATGTAAGAAACATTTTAATAAAAATATCGTAACTTAAATTTTACAATATCCTTTATACATATTAATAACGAAATACAATGTTCGATAATGACTAATTATTATAATTGTGTTGCATTCATTTTCCTTATGCGCTTTACACACTGACGCATCATTTTTCTCCACTAATACTAGCAGCAAATATTTGAGCAGCTGATTGCCACATCATTAGTCTTGTACTGACTCGTTTGGTGTGAGCAACAAGAAATATTTCATTTTCAGAGAACAAGAAAAATAGGTTTACTTGTGTTATGTTTATTAACTTGTGCAGTTATTCAGTATCTGGTAAGTTAATGTTCAAGACAAAATATTTTTATTAAAATGTTTTATTATCTAAAACATTATTTCATGCCCAGTGCATGAAATTCGTGCATGGGGGAGTGGTGTCCCTCAGCCCAGACTGCACCCTCTCCAATCTGGGACCCCTCAAGGGATGTCCAACTGCCCTCTCACAATCCAGGACTGCTGGCTCCCAAATGCTCGCCTGCCTGCCTTCCTGATTGCCCCTAACCACTTCTGCCTGCCAGCTTGATCACCCCCTAACCACTCCGATGCCAGCATGACTGATGTCTAACTACTCCCCTACCTGCCTGTTTGCACCCAACTTCCCTCCTTTGCCAGCCTGGTCACCCCTAACTGCCCTCCCCTGCAGGATTGATCAATCCCAACTACCCTCCCTTGCAGGCCTGGTCCCTCTCAACTGCCCTCCCCTAATGGCCATCTTGTAGTGGCCATCTTGTATCCACAGGGGGGCAGCCATCTGGTATTTTGGAGTGATGGTCAATCTGCATATTACTTTTATTATATAGGATAGAGGCCTGGTTCATGGGTGGAGGCCAGCTGATTTGCCCTGAAGAGTGTCCTGGATTAGGGTGGGGGTTCCCTTGGGGCGTGGAGTGGCCTGGGCGAGGGGCCTGTGGTGGTTTGCAGTCCTGC